TTCAATGTATGGAAGAGTCTAAACACAGGAATGTATTATTCTTCATTTTGTACAGTGCAATGGAGCTGTAAACCAGGTCCATATGGGGAAAAAAGGTACTGGGACAAAAGAATCTTGGTCATGTCTGACAACAATTCTGTCCAAATCCAGTAAGTTACAAATGTCAAACAATGTTAGCTGTGATTTCTGTTGAATGCATTTTCTCCCAAACATTGTGAGAAGTTGTTTGTAAAGGAACTGTCAACAAGAATTACTGCAGAAAGAAACTTGGGAGGTGATGTTACATTTCCGTATTTTCCACTCTGCTCTGTGCTCTCTGCTCCGGTGCTACACGGTTCAGGATCCTGACCTGCAGTGACCTTCAGATCCCCCTTTTCATCCACAAACACAGACGTCACCCAGAGCCCGAACTCTGACCTCCTACCTCTCCCACTGATTTCAGACCGAACACTTCAGCTGGTTCACTTTACACCAGATGTTCTTGCCCCATTACGGTGCAGTGACCTGTGCCAGACTGCAGCTCTATTGACCCAAGAGATAACCAAAGCAGGACCACCGTTTACGTTTTGACTCATGAATTATCAGCTCCTCATTTTTCCCAAACAGGGAAAGTTTTGTTCTAGATGTTCAAATAACATTATTTCTCAAAGAGACAGAGATTATACGTATGTATGTAACTGCCATTTTAAGGTCGGACTGAAACTGAATGGTTGCTTATATTTTATACTAGTTGCTTTAACAAAACATACAGCAATATGCCTTAACTTCATTTAAAATGTATAAATCTCAAGTGTAAAATAACAGAAGATAATTGAAACTAATAAGATTGAAATTTTGTCTTTCTTTTATTGCATTACCTTCTTTGTTGAGTAACTACAACAAGTTAAATAATACAGCTCATCACACTGGGTCATATTTTGATTGACTCTGTGGCATACATACGGTCTTGACATTATTACCACTAGCAGGCACAGAATTACTCTACAAATATAAAAAGGATTATCCAGTGCAACAATACAGTAAGTCTGTGCTCAAGAAGTCAGTTTTCTTTGGACCTGATTCAAAAACAAATGGGATATTCTTTTGATAAGTCATAAGACATCCTGTAAGATGGAGACATCAAACATCATGTTTCTGTGTGAACCAAACCCTTAATTAATTTTTGGTTTCCAGCTGGCATTGTTCCAGATTGCACAGATTGAACAGTAGTCCTCGTGTCAAACTAAGTCTGGTGGTATTTTTAACGATATAAAGGACTTTTTTTGGCCTGGAACAAACGTTATGTGTGCAGCAGTGTAGCACTGTAGGAGACACTTTTTGGAAAAACAGCAGTAATGTAATTTAACATGTCAATTAAATCACGCCACATAGCTCCAATCATTACTGATCTCTCTTCTAAATTAGTGCCCATATTAAGCTGCAAGTGACCGGGGCTTTCCATTACATTAATGGTTAAACTGCAACTGATGGTTCAACCAAGATACACAAATGGACAAAGGATTTTTTTGTTTTTAGGGTTTCACAACAATGTTTGTGACTTTATGGGTTAGTGTGGTTGGTCTTAGGCCCTCAGGTAAAATAGCCGCAGTTAAATTGATAGTCCAGGTGTGCTGCCGCTCCCCTGTCCAGATTGTGTGCAGTCTAGACAGCTCACACTTTTGCATCATGTATGTGTTTCAGGGGTGGATCTTCTTCCTGTTATAATCTGTGTGAGTGCCATTTCAAAGATTTGCATGCCTGTTGAGATGGTGGCTTTATGTCACGTCTCTACACTGGAGAACAGCAAACAAAACAGAACGCAAATCCAAATTGAAATCTGACAGTAATGTGTTGACTACTGAGACGTTTTTCAACAAGTGCAACTTCTATTTACCAGATATTTGCAATTTTATGACGAAGATCAATTGAGAGACACAGGTAGGATTATAATGTATCAATGCAAATGCCTACATTCGTGCCATAAACTCTTGAGATTACATTTTTGAATGAAGTAAACAAAATCCCAAGATACCATGGAATGAGTAGGGGACAAATCTACCAACCACTCCTTTACCAGTTAACTAACAAACATCTAGCCAGGCTGTTTTATGGATGAGAATATTAACTGGCTCTAAATATGATATCTTTTTTTAATATGTATGCTGTTTCTGGCCTGCCTCATTAATGAATGAATGGAGCGTTTCCAGTTAAAACTCAGTAGCTACATTCACTGAGGATCTACTTGGCTTTAGACTAAAAATCACGGGGTCTACTGATGCAATGCCGGCTTAACTCTAACTAACCTAGTATGTGTTTTGACTCATTGTTAGCGTTATTCTTGTATTACTGTTGGGTTACTTATCTAAAATATTTTTATTTTCACAACTCAGGTTTTTCCAAAGAATACACATATTAATCAGGCCCAAAGAGCCAGAGTAGATTATAATAACTCATTGTCTTAGGTGATTTTCTAAGTTAGTTCAATATTTGTTGCATAGTAACAACTCATTATTTGTGTACCTAACGTTACAGTATTACCCTTTCTATTTCTTTTCTTTCTCTTTCTCTTTCTCTTTCTCTTTCTCTTTCTCTTTCTCTTCTCTCTCTCTCTCTCTCTGTCTCTACACACACACACACACACACACACACACACACACACACACACACATACATGCACACACAGGTGCTAACATAGGGAAAGCTGTAATTCAGCTTCAAAGGGAAACCTGAGAGGGTCATGAATAATCACAGACATCTTTGTCTGCAGGGGAAAACAGCACTGTCCATCTGCCCTCTATACACCTACATACACTAGTTTAAATGGCTGAAGCTGTTTTTAGCAATGCCATTGGGTGAACTTCTGGGTTAGAAGAATATATATAGTGTCTAACCGTTTCCATTTTTAACTTCAAACAACGTCACAGATATCATCCCTTTATGCAATTAAAAATATATAGAAAAATCTGTAGAAAATTATTGTTGATATCAATATTTTACAAAAGGTTGGCAAAACTGCCAGTGAAGCTATATCACAAATGCCCCTTTAGTCTGCTTCTGGATCATTCTGCATGACTGATGGACAGGTGAGCCAGCAGGGGAGCCAAGATACATTGTAAACAGACAGACTCAAATGTAGACTAAAAGCCAAGGGACAGACGAAAAAGGAGCTGCTCTGCATCTAAAATAAACAATCTTGGCAAACAGAAATGTTTAAACTGTTTATAGCTTACAAACTGACTACTTGTCTAGCCTGCAAAATTATGTTAGCAAGAGCACTCTATCTCGGTTGTTGACACTGTTATGCTTGAGGATCAAGTGTGAGACAAAATATATGTGATAGACCTACAGATAGAAATGCTGTATATTTGGTGTGGTTTACCATTCATGGTTATGTTGTTGGTGGTGTTACAGGCTGCTATCTGTCATTCAGTGTCAATGAAATGCTTTGATTGGCTAGTTGCTAGAACATTCTCCTTCTACGTAGATGGCTTAATTGAATGTGCAGAGCCCACTCCAAAGAGTAGACGGGTCAAAAATACATGCATTTTAATTTTAGTTGAACTTGGAATTATCTCGCGTTAACAAGATAGACAAAGTACAGTATCTGTTGAGATGTCATGTAAGATATATAGCCAGACTGCTGCAGCTTTCTCTTTCCACTTCCTCTGTGGACCAACAGAGAGGTGATGAAAACACAGTCAGCTCCCCTCCGGCACAAACTGACAGCAAAATTGAAGCTCGTAAACAATTTAGAAAATTTATTTTTGCACAGATCGAAGCACCTTTCTCTTGAGAGAGCTTTACTCGCTGGCATATGCGGAGAGTTTGGATACGTTTTCCTGTCCAGCACGGATGTACACACACACACACACACACACACACACACACACACACACACACACACAATGCTGGTGAAGCAGACAATCTACAGATATTTGTGTGTGTGTGTGTGTGTGTGTGTGTGTGTGTGACTTGTGACTTGTATTTGGGAATTTCTTAACTCAACAACACCTACATTTTTTTACATCTTCAGATTCGACTTAGATCAAAATAACACAACAGGTCTAACGTGACTGATCTAGTTACTGCACCTATAGGACATTGCTGAAGCCTTTGGAGTGTAATGTTTGTTTGTGTGCGTAAATGTTGGTCCGTGGTGACATTCCTCCCCTGTCAAAAGCCCGAAAGGAATTCCCTGGTAGGAGTGGCAGGCATGAGGTCTGTGTTTAGCACACATGCTTGCATACACACACACACACACACACACACACACACACACACACACACACACACACACACACACACACACGCAATTACACACAAATATAGATATCAGCATATTAAACATTGATCAGCTGCACACCCATACAAACTCCAGGCCCCACCCAGACGCAAGGTTAACCTCAGTAGCATACTTCATGTTGGACACTGGAGCTCATCAGAATCTACAAGTCCTTTAAGGGTTGTGTAACATGAGCAGAGAGACAGACAGATAGAAAAAGAGGGGGAGAGAGAGACAGACGGGAAAAAAAGGAGTGAGGGAGTAAGGAGAAAGAAGGTAACCTGATGTCCCAGGAGTTTTCTGAACAGTGAACTGGTTCCCATTGAAGTTTGGAGAACCCCCCTTTTTTCTAATCCTCACCTCCATTCTCTCTTTCTCTCTACACCCTCTCCTCTTCCACTCCCTCTCTCCATCCGAATATACCTGGAAAAACTATTCTATCTGACTGGAAGTGTTGAAAGAACTGGGACAACACAAACTTTACATTCATCACCCAACTAAACTTGTCTGTGTGTGGAAGTCAGCTGGAATTTTCTCCCCCCAACAGAGGACTAACTGGCTGCTGCTGAGCTCAATCTCAATTCAGAGGCTCCACTTTCACTTAATGACAGGTATGAAGAAAACTTCAGACAAATCTCCTGAGAGAGACTCTCTTCTGTTTCTCTGTTTCTCTCTCCTATATGCACACACACATTAACACCACTTAATTAGAGTTTTAAAAGAACAAGGTAGGACTCACCACCCTGTTAATGCTCCTTCCCTTCTCTCCCTCAGTGAGTGACAACTTCCAGATGAACTCTGCTATATTCCACCTCACTCTCTCCAGGCCAAGGGCAGAATTATCCCAAACTCCAAATCCCGCTCCTGCTTTTAAAGCTGTGAATCCAGGTCTCAGGCCATTCACTTCTGTCTCCCTCCCACACTCTTTGGGAAATGGATTGTTCTAAAAGTTTAGTAAGAGGAGTCCCAATGCTGCTCCCTCCCTCCTGTGTGGCTCACTGCAGGTCCTAGTGCCTACCCTTTCCACGTGCTCCGTGACAAAAAAAAAGAAGCACAGCTGCTCATAATTTACACCTAGCTGCTGTTATTCATTCTCTCCTTCCACTTTCATCCACGTGTTCGTCTCTTATACGCAAATCGGTGGAAATAAACTTTCACCCGGGGATGATTCAATTTTCTGTTCATTTGAGAATGTACGTCACCTAATAGTGAGGTCAGGCTTTGCCCTGAGCAGTGAAAGCTTCCCAAGATTGTCACTGTTGTTCCACACCTGAGTCATTGCTAGCTTGGAGCGGATACCCTTGGACACAGACTTGGCTATGTGTGTGGTTAAACCACCAACGTCCTTGGTGCAGATGATGATTGTGAAGACACGCTCAGTTAAACAACTCACTGACCATTTCAGAATTGTGGCACATTGCCATTTTCTGACAGATGATTTTGTATGCACAGTCTTTTGCAGTGCAAACACTGAAAATGTGTATAGTTCAATGAAATTCATGGAGTTACAAGAATAGAACTTTGATGGTCTGTTGCAACCAGGAATTCATCCCTGCTACTTGTCAATGGCAAATGAAGAGAAAATGGGAAATAGAGTCAAAACACGCAACTATAATATCCCCTCACCCTGCGTAGAGATCAGCCACACCCTGCATTCAGCAGGGCCTCCAGGCTCCAGTATCACAACAGTTCCTCTCTGACATTTCTCTCTTGTTTATGCATCTTTATTTTCCCGTCTCTCTGTCTTTCCTTCTCACCCTCTTTCTGGTTCTATGCGTTTCTCCCTTTCACAGCTTCTTTCTGACCTGAACCGTATCGTTGTCAGAGCCCCTGGCACTGAGCAGACAGACATCCCACCCTTTTTCTCCAACAGACAGAGAGAGGGGGAAAAAAGAAAGAGAAAAATGAGAGAAAGGAAGGATTGTGTGTCAGTGTCATCCCTTTCTCCTCCTCCTGGGAAAGTGGAAATTCCTTTTACTTTGAGTTGAAACACTGATGTTGTTTTGGTGTTAATGAGAAAACTTTATTGGGTGCAAATTGGCCCTGAAAGAAATAACACTGGCGAAAACTTGAGAGGGGTCTCCCTCTCTCTGCTCAAGAATTTTGACCCCCATTGATGAGTTCAAACCCAAGTAGGCATTTCCCTAAAGCTGGCGTGGCTCTTTTTGAAGCTCTGTGTGTGAGACTTTCTGATGTGTGTGTGTGCGTGTGTATGTGTGTACAAGCTTGTGTCACTGTCAAAACTGCCTTGGCCCTTGTTATCGAGGCTGAGTCTGAAAGGGGAAACCCCAGTCAGTGAACTCTGATCCTGCACCCCACTCTGGGGTTGGTTAAGGGTGAGAAATGCTGAGGAAGGGTAAGCACTTTTGGCTGGGAGGGTGGGAGGAGGTCAAGAGTGCACCAATATCCTCATATTTCAGACATTTTTGACGCTGGGTCTTCTTTGGAGGGTCTGTGTGCATGTGTTTGACCTTGTTTCAGGCCTAGACCTACCTGCAGGGGATTTAAAAATGATATTGTTGATCCGGTTTGTTAACCTTAGATAAAGTGTCTGAGTGTAGGTTTAAGGTAGGGGGCTGAAAGGGGGGGGTAAAACTTTATATTAAAATTTACGTTTTTGGGCAGTTTCATTTATGTATATCAATGAGATACAGCTGTTCAATAATGATGCCAAATTTGTTGTGTGTTTGTGTTTATTTAGTGAAATAATTAATTTAACACACCCTTCCCATGGACATGAAAACATAGCTGTTTGTGGTTTTGTCAGGGTTTGGTTTTGTAAAATGTGCTATTAATCCTTATTACAGTGCATGTGTGTGTGTGTTATAATAACTGGGATGAGTCACAATCCAGCCCTAATGTGTGGTCTCCAATTTACAGCTCTATAAATTCCAGTAAATGCCTGCAAAGACTTGAAGCCTTGTTCTTACACAGTGCATAACTATTGAGATGAATTCTACACAATACTACACCATCTTCATTATTTGCATTGTTTTAAACAATTTGTGAGTTAATTCATTTCTGATATGCAGCCTTAGGGCACCAGCATAATATCCTCATCCAAATCCAAATACCCACACTGTTTTCCCTCAAGGACTTAACAACAGTCTAATCCTTAGCCACGCTCGAAATGTATCTCAATCATATCTGAGGGAAGCGGTTGGACAGGTTTCTTCCTGGCACAAAGATGCTGTGCGGCGACACACAGGCCTACGAAAACAGAAAGACACGCACACACACACACACACATACACACACAGTCCACATTCCCATTCATCTCAATCAAGATCCAAGAATGATGACATTGTTCTCAGAAAATAAGTGTGTCAATGTGATGATTCTCAGTAATCCAGGTAATAGGACATCAAGTCATAGGCAACTGTAGTTCAGTTCACCCAATCTACAAAACATTTAGGGTTCAGGTGCTTAGGTTGCTTGAAGCATTTAAAATATACATTTGAAATTCCTAGACCACTGAAAAAGTAGTTCCTATTTGAAACCTGTGTGACTTATCCAGAGCTATAATTGCACTGTTTCTAGGGATGTAACGATACACTCAACTCACAATTCATGATTCAAAATAATGGGTTCATGACACAATTTTCTCTCTCTATTTTTATTTTTTTTAACAAAATAAGACTGAAGACATTTACTTCTCAGACAAAAATGTACCAAATGTATTTTCTCTTATATTTTCTTAAATTACTGAGTAGTTTTTTATTTCTGGGGTAAACTGCGCAGAACAAAGCATATTTACCTTTTCTGCCTTGATACCACGATTAACTTTTCACCTATTGGTTCTGTGATTTATCTTTCTTTCAATATATACTTAGATTCCTAATTGTTTCTGGAAAATATGTTTCTGTTGAAAACCTGTATTTCAAACCTGGCAAAATAAAAACAAAACTATCTCCATGGCAAGATTCAGCTAGAGGTGAGAGTAATGTGAGTGAACCAAATCTTTTAATGTGTGTCAACCGTTCTTTAGCCCAGTGGAAATCAAGTGAAGCTGATGTTTCTATGGTACAGGCTTCTATCACACATTGCCATATCATGGTCTTAAAACACTTCTAATGGTCACTTTCTTTACCTTTGCCCTCAATATGAATTGTAGAAATTATTCAAAAAACGAAATATTCATTGGTTTCCAGCATGGTCACATAAGCTACCTTTTAATTTCTTCACAATATACACTACATAATCTGATACGTGGCACATTTGTAAAGGTTATGATTTCAGCAAAATGTTCCTGCAGAATAAATGTACAAGCACACATTGTATGATAAAACTCCTTCATTACCCTAATACATCTGACATGACTCTTTATCCCTATTTTCCTCAATATTTAATGGGCATTATAAGATCATACACAAAGCACGCTCTTTTTTACATAAGCATTGGTCGGACTCAATAAATGATGACACATCTCTCCTCTAACATTTCCCATAGCATTCATTCTTTCTTTTCCTTAATGACCAGTGAAAACCTACGCCAAAGAATCAGTCATTGATTGAGGCTCTCTGGCCCAGTTATCCATATGTCACAGGGAAGGTGGATGAATAGCTTAATTTCACCTGCACCTTTGTTGACTGTGTGTGCCTATGGTTGTATGCGTGTCTTCCTGCGAGGCGACTGAATGGCTGTTCCTCTGCGCATTGTTGAGTTAGAGGGCTCGTCCTCCTACACCCTCATCATGGCCTTGCGCTGACGCATCCCAGAAGCCTCTTCACTCATTGACTCTTCTGTCCCCTTCCTCCCACGGCCTCGCTAGGCAGAATCCCGCTATTGTCCCACCACGCGGTGTACACAGGCTAGCAAACAGCCAGGCTCACACTCATATGCACTATGCACCATGCACAGTATCTACAGATGGATTCAGAGCAACAGCAAAGCAGACCTGAACTTAGAGAAAAAAACATACTGTACAGTATTTGTTCACATAATATCAAGAAACTGAATAGTTTTCCAGTTGTTCCCACAATTTGCCCTCCAACCCTAATCTCCTCTCAGTGGAAGCTGAGCACTTCATTAAACCCAAAGTCCCTGTGTGTGTTTATATGTGCTTGTGTCTGTTACTGTGGTTCTATGTGCTCGGTAAGTAAGTGTATTAACCTTTAGCCTCTCTCACCATTGTTTCTGTGACATGCCCCACTGCTACTGAAACCCGTTCCCAGAGATTTTGGCAAAATGTTGAATCTACCAACATCTTGTGTTCATTTTGCTTCTGGGTCTACGCCAAAGTTAAGGGATGAGAGCAAGTCTTGAGATAATATGCTGTTGTGTATCCCACCGCCGGACTGGATATGGGCTTGTTCTTGTCATATGACCATAACAATCACTAATTTTACATTGAACATTCAAGAATATTTAATATGAATTATACACTCTCCCATATAGTCAACATTTAAATTTATACAGCTTCTTGTCTTCTAAACTCCAGCATTTGTTACTATTTGTTCTGTTTTTTCCTCAGGATTTACGATGTATTAAGGAACCAATTTGTCTTTTTAATGTTCTTTTTCCTTTGGAAAAATAGATAAAGTAAGAAAAATGTTGGACATTTCATATATGACTATTTTAGAGTCTGACAAGGAAAATCCAAATCATTTGTCAGCTTCATTCTGTGACTATAGATTCATGTCTACCAATGTACTCTGTAGCAATGTTTTTTAGCGGCTGGCTGTTTCTTACACACAGAGGGCATTGTGTCCTGTAATGGAGCCCTGGCCTCAGTGTCTGTTGCTTCACAGCTCACAACTCATAGACATGTAGGCTTAGATCCCTGCCTCAAAACACATAGTCACAGTTGGGCACTCTTCTAAAGTGCATACAGTATATTACCAATACAGGCTGATAAAAGCAATCACAGACAGGAGCCAGTGATGGTTTTCATAAAGTCACATAAATCTGGGAGCAAACCCAGGATGCCATGGAGCTGCATACAGGACATCTCCCATGTGGAATAAATACAAAGAAATGGAACTAGGTATATGAGCAGGAAATCACTTGGCTTACGTCTTCACCCACATATCAAAATCAAGTTTGTGGTAATTTTTCCAGCAGCAACCGTTGAACCTTACACATCATTTTTGACAAAATCCAATTTCCATGTGTTCTTCCCATAAACTCCCCCAATCTGTTATTTTTTCCCAAAGAAATAATTTTCCCCGTTTTACATTAATTCCATGGATGTGAGCCACTGTCTGAAAAACCACCACTTTTCTCCAAAATGTGCGACTTCTGTGACTCACATCCTACCTCAGCACGTCAGAACATGTCCTCTGATGTCTACACATTACACTAATAATTATTTCCTCTCAATTTGTCAAAGAATTTTCCCCATTCTTTTGCACTCCATACTTGTGGTCATTAACGTAACTTATGACTGCAAGCACAAGTACCTGTTTCTTTGTGCTGTTGCCAACAAACACTCGGTACCAGACTAAATGTGTGACAACCATCAAAGCAGGACAGTTTGTGACTAGCTGGTGAATAGAGTGGAGCATTGAGCTGCTGGAGAAAAAGATATTTCCCTCAGGAGGTGGTGGAGACCAAAAGCAGAGCTAAAGGAAGAGTGCATTATGAATTGGCGCTATACAAATAAAATTGAATTGAAAATTGAATTGAATTGCAGAAGTCTCCATCTAATAAAGATGAAAATGTATTAAGATATTCGCTTGAGAGAAGTGGTCGTTAATTGAAGCCTTACAATGGCAAGATAAATGTTAAAATCCAGCACTGATGCAGCCTGTCAAAAAAGAGAAACAACTCATTCAACTTTTCAACTCACCACTGTTTTCCACCACTGACACCACTTCCTCTTATGCACCAGATGCTAACACGTGGCTTTGTATTTAAATATCAGTTATGTCTGAATAAAGCCACAAGGCACATTTAAAGTCAAATGTCTGAATGATAAAAAGCTGTCAGTTAAACAGATTGATGAAGCCAATAATGTTACTTTTTTATTGCTCCTGAAGGGCTTTGCTTTGTTCTCAAGCTTTCTCTCGTTGCTTCTCACATTCCAACAGTGCTTATTGTGTATTTCAGTATAGCTGATTACACATAGGCGTTGTCTCTTACATATCAGTTTTTGCTGCCAGATGACTGTGCAGGTGTCAAATTGGAATTTAAATGAGAGTCATAAATGCTTTGTGGTCACCAAGGTATATGGCAACAGTTGATTTAAAAAGGTGTTCATAAGGCTGGCATAAAAGTGTCAGAAACACTGACGTGAAAAAGAAATAAACTGCCTGAATGTTTATGACTGTTGTCATTAAATGAGATTTAGTTAATATTTAATAATAACTTAAACATGAACATTGCATGATGGGCCTTAAATAAATGTTAGTATACTGAGAAATCCAATAAAAACAGTGAATCCTTTCCTTGACCATGAGTTGTAAAGTTTCCTAAAGACATAATTACACTGTCAAATTTAATAAGAATGACATTTTTTCAGTGTTTGGTAACAATACTACGTTTGACAGCTTCGTTTGAAACTTTAATTTGAAAATGTAATGAAAAATCTTGTGAGATTGTTATGACAGTATTGTGCCAGCCTTAGGCACACCCAGTAAAGGTTAACAGCCGTTGTGTTAGAACCATTGATCCAATCATATTTTTATCTTCATGCAGTTATAATATCGCCACACCTATTGTTTGGTCAGGTAACCCAAAATAGGAGATTACTGAGACTTGTTGGAAGCAACAAAAAGTTGGGCGCTAAACATTGGTTGGTTCATCACATGATATCATCAATGTTTTAAAAAGGTGAATAATGTGTTTGCAGGGAGGACAGAAACAAGAGGAGTCAGGGTGAGTTGCAAAGTAGAGAGGACGGAGGCAGGGGGTTTAGGTGGATTGTAAAGGGTGAGGAGGGGAGAAGAAAGCAGTGTAAGTTGTGAGGGGTGAGTTAAAAGAGACACCTGGGAGAGGAACAAAGCAGCAGCTGGCTTGGCTTTACTCCTTGGAAACCCCACAGAGAGTCTTTTAAAGGGTTAAATGGGGTCACCATGTACACTCTTGCATACACACACACACACACAAGCACACACACACACACACACACACACACACACACACACACACACACACACACACACACACACACACACACACACACACACATACAAACAGCTAGGCATACACATGAGGTCCAAACACAACCTGTATAACAAGCGGTCATATTTCCTTATGTTGGAATAAAATATGTTTAATGTTTCTGTCTCCAGGATGATGACACTGAGATGGTCAGTTTCCAGTGTGAAGCATTTAAGTGTGACATAAATTAGGCTGCTGAGCTTGTCTTTACAGGCTGTCTTTAGCCATGTTCCCACCCAATGTACTGGGAACTTTTAGTCCCATGAACTACTTTTCAAAGAACTAAAAGGTGCCTTCAGACATTTGTTGTTGCCATTGCGGTTTAACGAGCCAGGAAGATTAGTAAATTAGTCCGGTGATGTATGAAAAAGCGACGGCTGTGTGCATGTTCTTTTTGTGAGCAACTATACAACAACAAGGCCTGGACATTGTCGTCTGTCCATCTGTCTTATGCTTTCCTCTGTAACTCCATATTCATATATAAAAGTGTAATAAACAAAAAACTGGGTTTCAGCTGTAGAATTAAAAAAAAATGATGGCTGAAATAAAATGCTGCATGTACTTGTCTTAACCCATCAGAAATGTTCAGCACAGCAAGCCCCAACTCCAAATTTCCTGTACTTATGAAAAGTACTGCCCCTGAGCAGGGATCTGGAGGGTAAAATAATGTCCTTGTCCCTGTGGTGGAAACACACTGCCTCCAAAGTTTCCTAGTCCCTGGGCAATCTGACATGGCAACCAGAGACACTATAACTGCTATAATAATTGGCCATCATGATGGGATTGTACCCCAGTATGTTACTGTGCACCTGTGATCACAGGTTACATAAAGAATAGCCTCCCTTACAAGGCAGAAGGCAGCCAGAATAGGGAAACTCTGTTTATACCCAACAGGTATAAAGTTATTTTATGACAACCTCATGACACCATGGAGATCCCAGGGTGTTTCCACCTCTGACTAATCTGAATACTTTTACAACCAGGTAAAAGCCGTGTGAGAGCCCTGAGGGTGATTACTGTGCTTTGTTGGGATGCATTGGTGAGAAAGTAAGATATACAAGAGTAACAAAGCGAATTGGGCGATGTGAATGGTGCAAACACGCACATTTCAGGGTTTTGCAGTGTTGTGTGGGGAGAAGCGTAGAGGCAGACTGCTGCTGGCCCACAGACAGCTGCTTGAGACCGGGGAGCTCTGCAGAAGAGAGCCGGGGACAGAGCCGGAGCTTCCGGAGGAATAAACACAATAGTCACATTGGATTCTGCTCTGATCTGGAGATGTTTACCAGCAAAAGGAGAGGAGCTTTTGGGATTCTCTTCTCAACCTGTCCGCTGTAAGCCACAGAGGTGCCACCCCGACTTGGCACAGCAGCTGTCTGTGTGCACCCAGAGCTCGATGATACTACTTCATATTTATACAGAAACCAGACAACAAAGGAAATTGCTTGGAGAAAAGTAAAAGAGGAAGACTACCTGGTAAGAGCTTAAATATATGTATCTGTTACTTGATTGCAGCTATCGGTTTTTACTTTAAAAGGTAACAAAAACATAAAGATTCTTATTTCCAGGTGGTTATACACTAATGGCAATATATGTATACATATTATATTTGATTTCTGCCAATACATCCTCCTAAATGTTACACACTGACCTGCAATGCCAGCTGGTAACTCCTGCGCCTCCAGTAAGAGTTATGGAAAATGAGAGTATGTGCAGGCATTACATTGAGATTGACTTGGAGATCTAAACAGTATTTGTTCCTAAAGCTGTCTGGTATTTACCAGGAACCTTGTAAATTCAACACAGAGTTCAACACAGAGACAGCAGAAGAGAGCCGACACAGCCACACTCAACGCGCCACTGCAAGTGCAACCAAAGCCCCACGAACAAAAAGCTGATAAGGGTAATTAATTCATGTAATCCACGCATAAGATGTACAGTGACAGTAATAAACAATATCTTCACCAAAGAATCAAACATTGGAGAGAGAAACTCGCTCCAGACAGCGTCAAAGCCAAAAAGATTACATTACAAGTAGTCCTCTTTCATGGCCAAAAGAAAAATTAAGAAAACGAAGAGACAGAGTGGAACCCAAAATTCAAGTATTTGCCAAATTTACAAGATTGGACAAACAATTACAAATTTGTCATCGTCAGTGTTTCACACAGTTGAGAAAGTTTCCCATAGCTCAACAAGTCACAAAACCCCAAAATTGTTAAGGGAATCTGGTACGTTCTCCTCAGGTGATGAAAGAGTATATTGCATACTCTTTAGATTGTGCCCCTGCTTCCCTTTTGGTGTGGTTTTACAGCCAATATAGTGTTTCTGTCTGTCTCTCTCTCTCTCTTCCTCTGTGTGTCTGTTTCTTCTATTAACAATGTCCACACGTGTTTAATTATTATGTTTTCTGCTTTTACATTGTATTGTTTGTGAGCCTATGTGTGATTATTTTGTTTGTGGATGTTGCTGAGACTTCTGATACAAAGTCTAATGGCATCATTCTATTGAATGAAGCAATGTTAAATGAGTGTTTTGTATACAGTAATGTCATGCAAGGATTATACCTTATGCCACTCACCCAATGCTCGTTATTTTGCTATTGATTTTATTGGTTCTTTTGCATGCCTCCTATTGTTGTTATTATTATATGAGAAAAGTAATAATAAAAAATGTTCTTAGGGCCATCTGTTGTCTAGAACCGGGGCTGCTGGGAAGGAATGGCATTGGACAAGAGTTTGACACGAGGATCCAGAATGGTTTTCGTCACTCATACAAACATACTGTATCAAAAATCAACAGTGTGTTTGATCTAAAGGTTTTATGAGCTTTTAGGCTTGTTCCTTTGTTCTGAGCTGTCCTTTGGTATGCTTAGACAAAAAGAGATCGGTGTCAGATTGAGTCTGGAAGGGGGATTATGGCAAATACCAGCATAACACACAATATGTAATGGAAATGAGCTCACCAGCTTGCTCTGGAGCCACCAAGGGACTGGGATAGATTGTGAGTAGGGACAAATAATTCACATACACACCACCACATTTATACACAATTAAGAGGGACACACACCAGATCTACCATGCCCAAGCTTCAAGACCATTTTTGTCATTGTTTAGATCTAACCAAAGCACAGAGTTTCCTGGAAAGGCCCTGGACATAGTGAATTACTGATATAAACACTAGCATGTGTAATATTAAGAATTCCTCCGAACTCTTTGGTTAGATGCACTTGTTGCTGCTGCTAGTTTAGAAAGATGTACTTCAGATAACTCTTAAGTGTTTGCAAATAAAACCGAAGAATAAACTTCTTATATTCCATAAGTCTTTTCTGCTGAAATAGTAATAGGTGATAGTCTTCTTGCAGATTCATGCAAAAATTATACTTTAGGTGTGTCTTGTCAGTATAACAAACCTTTTTTTCTTTCTGTTATAATATTACTTTCTTCATTTTAGCAGCATGAAATGGAATCAGGGTCTGCTTGCTTGATTTAAAGTACCATACGAGTGGTTTTGTATGTCTAAGCTCCAGTTGATCCAGTTGTATTGTCAAAAAAAACTCCTGGAAAATGTCCTGGAAAGGTCCTGGAAAATGATTTCTTGAAAAGAGTGGGGACCTTGTCCTGTTTGGACTCCCCTGTGGTGCACACCAAGTTTTTTAACTTTACTCTGTACTTGCAAGAGAGCGATGAAGTCAGAGATCAGCTAAATCATTTTTGTAGACAATTCAGTAGAACTACCTGTCAAATCTCTGAGTTTCTACAGCATTCATGTTTGATAATTGTTTATATTGTATAAATTTAAATTGTATTTCCAAACTGAATTTAATGATTTTAACAGTATTGAAACATTAAAATGTTATAACTTTTGGCAAAAAAAATGTTTAAATGTGTTTCATTATGATAAATTAGCTCTGTTGTGTAAGTTTCAAGTCTCAGTGGCCAATTAACAGAAAACAATGGGCCACTGGAAGGTAGGAAAAATGCATTCAAAATGTACAGCACCACTTGCATGAATTGGGAAATGCGTGTCAATAATGTAAGTTGAAAGCACACAGGATTTACTGGGCTGCTTGAGCAAACCGCTATGGTCTTTTAAGCTCCTCAGTTCCTCTGTGTGTGGTGGCCTACAGTAGATATCTGACAGACAGCAGGGCTGGTGCTGGCCTACAGGGCTTAGTTACAGCCATAAACAAAAACCCAGAACACAGGACACATCTACTGCCACACAGTAGCTACTATCTGCTACTTCAAAACAGTTTCTGCTAAAGTCATTACAGCTCCACAGTGAAGGATGGACAGAGTGAGAAGAGGTGAAAAGGGAACAGGAAGAAGTATGTAGTGAGAGAGCAATGAGCAAGAAGGACTACAGTGACAAGGTCTTTCACAAAGGGATAAAGGAATCTCTAAACCATAAAACACAAATTAAGAAAATGCAGTGTTTATGGGATTGGATTTAAACCAAATGTAATTTGTTTTGTGCTGTGGAGCATCATGGGAAGAGTTTCATTGGGTTCAAGGACTTTTCACAAAAGGTCTGGTAAAATCAGTTACAAAAGAGAAGAGATTGGCTGTGTCAGAAGGCAGTGCATGGAGAACATTTTACAGCATAACAGTACAAATCAAGAAGCATAAAGCTGAGGCTAATCCTGCTAAATTGGGATAAATAGGTTGATATAAATCATCAAATATTTTCACAGAATATCTTATGCAGCCAGTGTGTCAGCATGCAGGTGGAAATGGGTAAACTGCCCTCTAAACCACACATCTTGGTGTGGGGGACGAACATAGAACAAAACAGCAGTACAAAGTAAACAACCAGAATTGATCTTTTGCACAAAAAAAGTCATTTAAAGTGAGGCAGAACATTACTCAAAAAAGCCCCTGGTTTATAGTATCATTGGTTTAATCTGTCTGCATTGATAATATTGCAAGTACATTCAACACCTAGTGAATGTATTGTAGGCTCTGTTTTCTCCCCAGTTCATTACTTTCACTTTACTGACCAAACTATTTTCAAAAGGGCAGGATTATTGAACACAGACATTACCTCAGTAGTGATTAGTTTGCTATTTATTTGGTCATATCCTGGTTTGGAAGCACATGGGACTACTCACCTATACTGACCCCATTATTCATTCATATTCCCATTATATATCAGTAATAATGAATCATTCTTGTGCATTACAACTTGGGTCTCATGGCTTTGACCAATATTTCTGTTGGTTATAATACATTCCACATAGCATGTAACAAATAAATTAATTGCAGAGATCTGGGAAAGCGACAAAGCTTGTTTAACAAAATGTCTGATCATCTGACCCCTGGTGATCTTTGCCCTGTTAGACCCAGGGTCCAATATCTCATCACTTTGGTGAGAACCATGTTATCATAACCAATAGAAATGGTCAAAACCATAAAAAATAAGAGCCAAGATGTTATAACCCAGAATCGTCTTTTAAAAGCCAGCTGTGTTCAAGTGGAATGGAGCGATGGGATGTTTTCTGTCAGAACATAGCAATGTCTAAATGCTAACCTTTGAAGAAAATGTTGAAATGTCGTCCCTCGAGCCACCATTCACCTCTAACTCTGAAGTGCTGTTCAAAGTAATATCAAATACCTCATTTCTTTGTATTCCAGAAATCTTTCACCCTCTGGCCTTTTGATGGTTGGGGATCATGCTTGCACACTCAGCCAAAAAACACTCACACAGCATCCAAAGCTACTCTTGCTGCAGTTATTTGGGGCCAAAGTGCAGGAAATTCAGCCTTTTGAGAGGAAATGGGTGTCTAATTGTCTACTGAGAGAGCTCCTGACAAACATAAAGCCAAGTGATAAGATAAAAAGAATTGTATTCTCTTTTCAATCTTCTGAGAAAAACTTTCCTTGACTTTCATTGTACTTGGCACCTCATTTGACATGGGGATAGCTCTGGACAGATGCTCCCCTCAAACACATCTGTCTGGTTCTCCACTGAACTATTAGATGTACTTCTCCGCGGGTGGGAGAGTCAGGGTCAAACACTCATGAGGATAGTATACACTAAAGACTATGAAGGGCGGGGTGGCAGAAAACACTGCAATGGTGAAACAAAGAATGAAAAGAGTGCCAGATGATGAGTGAAATATCCATCTGCCATTATCCCAGCTTAGTGGTTTGGGATAAAGGCTGATTGGAATATATTTTAGAAACAATTGTCATCTCAGCAGAGGCTCAGTTGGAGTAATTTGTGGGATATGTCACACAGTGGTTCAATACAACAGTCTGCTTTGTGCTGCAGAAAATACTGATCAACTCTGATATCACAAAGTTTCACAGGATGCTACTCATCCCATCAAATCCCATGTAGAGTGAAGGAGACATCAGCACAATGGAATGAAGCACCTAATTCATCCTGAATGACTGGAAATGATGTCAAACCCAGACTTGCTCCAATCTGTGGTTTCCATTTTAGGTATGTGTTCCCAAAATTAGGGGAGTAGTTATATTTTCAGTAAGCTTTTTCTTGTTGGCGAAAAAAAAAATGTTTTATTTAATTTCAGTGTGTGTGTTTGTGGGTGTGTGGGTGTGTGTGTGTTGGTAACACTGTTCTTGGGTGGTTAGAGCTTGGCAGACACACCCTGCCTCTGTGCCAGACACTTCTCTAATCAACGCAGGTCACTGGAGCTAGATGGCTGCTCTCTAAGCCTTTAACTGGGAAAAGATGTCATGGCTTCACCCTCGGTTTGGCACAGAGCTCCATCACTTTACTCAAAGATGGGGACTGTTTCATAATCATTTCATCATGGACCCCAAACAGATTTCAATATCCTGTGTCAACACAATGAAGGTGGAGCTGCTTACCGTGTTACACTGAATGTTGCAGTAAGCATTTCCAGCCTCCATTTATGGCCAAGCTTAACTTTCACAGTAATTGCTGCTGTGTTTTTCCACTCACTCTTTGCCATAGAAAACATTCTTATTAGACGAAGACCAAGTCCTACGCTTGATTCTCTGAGATATAATGTGTTACAGTTACTTTATTTCTTTATCCCTTAGAGTTAATAGAAAATGACTGGAAGCGAACTTTTCAGCAATGGTTGCCCTTTCAAAATGTTTTCTTCTCAAAGTATGGGGAGTTGTAGATGGAATCTACTCTTAATGGAGGGGGCAACATGCACACACATTTAAATTCATACACGTCATGTTCTGGGGCTCAAAGCGGTCTACTCAACCGAGCTTTCCCGATGTTTAGTATTGTCTAGCGGTAGGAGAGGGCCTCAGAGCCATAAAGATGTCTCTTCCACTTCATTCAAAACCCTCTGACTAACTCCATCCTAACCCAGTGGGACCACACAAGACTACTTCTTAATCAGCCGGTGACCACAATATGCCGAAACATTACTACTCTTCACCAACTGCAAACTGTATTTTACAACCTTAGCACTCAGCCATACAAACCTTACCACATCTCAACTGCGAGGAAAAGGCAAGCCCAAAATAGTAAGAAGCGTTAATGCTTAGACACCAATCTTACCTTCAGAATTTATATATGTAAATAGGCATTTTTGCAATGTTTCAGATGTCAGTAGACCAGTCTGTAATTCGACTCTCCAGTCATCTAGAGTTCACCATGAGTTAGAGTTTCATGGCTGTAGACAGCTACTGTTTGAGGTCTGTGCTGAAGAGCAAAGAATATGGAGATAAGAATGTATCATCGTGCAGAGTCGTTTTGCCTGTGGACAAGATTTAAGGTTTCTTACCAACTTCCTGTTCTTTTATCTCCACAATCTAGACAAGCATGCAGCGCTGAATGTTTGTAAAGTGACATCACCAAAGACCAAACCACATATAAGAGATGCCTCTGTGTGTGTGTGTGTGTGTGTGTGTGTGTGTGTGTGTGTGTGTGAACACCCATGTGCATACGTGTGCGTATCACTGCGTGTGAAATAGGAATTGCAATGACCACAAATGATGCACGGGTGTGAGTCATATATTTATATGATCATCAGGTCTGGTGAACAATACAGACATGGACAAACCAGAAGTCTTTCTTGACCTACCTTATCAGACTCAATATCAGCACTATCAGCAATATCAGATGCAGAAAGATTTAACTTCTGTCACATTAGCTACCTTCAAAAAGCTTGTGGTCTGTGGTTTTAAATGCAATAATAATATCCCATATAAGTAATCCCCATTTGGACATTTATACTTTTTTACAATGTTGTTGTTGGGACGTTCAGAGCATGGGGTCAGCCCTTCAACAGCACCCCAGTCGCTAGTGAATCACTCCATCTTGC